TNTNTCTCCCTTTCTCTCTCTTTCTTTCTTCTCCTCTTTGGTGTAATTTTTCTTTGCTTATTCCATTCATATTTGTTTTGATGAATTTTTGCATAAATTTACAAAAATATTTTGAAGAATTGGAAAAAGAAAACTTTTCCATCAATCTAACAATAATTTGGAAACATTAAGATTAAAGAGCATTGATAAATTTGTTGTAATCAACAAAGAAATGCTAAGACAAAACATTTATTTGATGTGACATAAGTGGTATATGATGATAAATTGGCTAAAGCCAAAAACTTTTCAATGTAAGCAAATTATCAGCTTATTATGATATATTGGTGAGGATAGAACTTTTTGATACAAATACATTATCAGGTTATCACGATATTTTGCTGAGAGCAGAACTTTTATGAGTTATCAGCTTATTATGATATATTGGTGAGGATAGAACTTTTTGATACAAATACATTATCAGGTTATCACGATATTTTGCTGAGAGCAGAACTTTTATGAGTTATCAGCTTATTGTGATATATTGCTAAGAGCAAAACTTTTTTATTTCTGGAATTATATTTGAAATTATTAACTGTTTTCAGCAAATTATCAACTTACTGGATGGTTTTTTTTCCTCTTTCTTTTCAATGAAATTTCCCATTAGTTAATTAAAGTTTCGTACAAATTATTAATTATATATATATATATATTAAGTGGGTATATTTATGAATTTATAAAATATTTTATTTATAATGTTAAATATAAATGTTAAACTCATTTCGTTTGTCAACGATAATACAACTTTATACGTCTGTTATTGTCGTGCATACCGATCATGCGGAAATAGAAGTATGTAATGGCTAACCGATAAAAACATTACGCAAAGCTAAATTCCTTTGCTGGATTGCTCTAAAAATATACTTTACAACTTCTCTTTCGCTTAATTTCATTTCCTATTATCATTTCTTTCGATACATAGTAAACAAAATTTGTTTTGATTTTTTTTTTTTTTTTTGTAATAGACTCAAGCAAAACAAGCTATTCACCATAGCCATGAAGACATTTATTCTTGCAAAAATCCTCATCGGAAATCAAACACCTGGTTACTCTGCACCTGGCATCACACATCCCGTATCCCGCTTTCCGCATCTAGCATCCTGTATTCCGTATCCACATTTTCTCTTTTCATCAATTATTCATTAAGCGTAATTCCTCTTTTCATTAATGATATAACCAAATGATGCTAATAGAAAAGCCTGCAATTGAAAATGTTTTCATGTTTACTTTGTGCAAACAATGATTGGAATCTTTCCAGAAATTAAATAGTTTCAAGCAATTATTAGTTAGTGAAAAAAAAAAAATGGTTTGATTACTTTTATAGTACCGACTTTAGAAATTTTCATTCACACTTTTTTTTCATTTATTTATTATTTCTTTTTCTTTTTTTTTTTTGTTAATTAAAACAGAAAAAGAAGGAAACGAATGAAAAATAAAATTATGTTAGATTTTTTCAATCATATGAAGGGATGATAACATGACATGTTTATACTTTCATGTTTTAAATAATTTAAAAAAAAAAAAGAAAGAAATTTCATCTAACATTCAACATTCAACAAATTATTTCAAAAATTGTTGCGTAAGAATTGAGATATTGCACTTTTCCAAATTTTAATTTCATTCATTGAAAATTCAAATAAACAGTTCATCAATCTTCGTAGCTTTTTTTTTTTTTTCGTGCAATATTTTTGCGTTTAACTCAGAATTGTGATGTCATCCTTGCTCGATCATATTTTCATTTTTGTTCATAAAAACAATTTTTCTTTTTCCTTTCTGTTTTTTTTTTTTTTCCTTTGTATTGAAGCAATTAACTGTTTGTTTGTTCCAACAATACAATTCATCGTATATTTGAGAGTTCATTTTTTACCGAAACAATCATTTTCAATTCATCAGAAACATTTTTTTAAAAATAAGTTTCACAAGAAATAATCAAATTATTGCACTATGAATCATCAAGTTTCAATATTCCATTCGCTTTTTTTTTTCTTTTTTTGCCACACAAATCTTTTTGGTTTAACTTTTTTTTACGCCAAAATTTTACGATAAATATTTGATAATAGTTAAAAAATATTATTTAAAATTAGAATTGGAAAAGAAAAAAACGATTTGTTACTATGCGATAAATTAATGGATAAATATAAAAAATTGAATAGTCAAGATAGAAATTATTGTCATAGCCTCATACATTGATAATATCAGGAAAGATAAACATCGAGAATTGTGAAATATTAAATTTTTTAATAGCGGAAAGATATGTAGTGATGGCCTAAATTATTTGGTAAGTGATTTAACTAACAAATATTATGCAATTCTTCATTTCGTTGTCATCATATTCTTTTCTTCATTTATAATTAATTTCCAGAAAAACACATAGCCCAATATTCTCCTTAATCTTATCGTTAATCATTTGATTGACAAAAAAAAAAAAGAGAAAAAATTACAAATATTCTTTGTTGCTTGATTCCGTAGAATCACTCCTTTAGTTGCTTGATTCCGTAGAATCATTCCTTTAGTTGCTTGATTCCGTAGAATCACTCCTTTAGTTGCTTGATTCCGTAGAATCATTCCTTTAGTTGCTTGATTCCGTAGAATCATTCCTTTAGTTGCTTGATTTCCGGAAAAGTTTGCTCCAAATCATTGATCCAAAAATA